TGTGTGTGTGTGTGAATGTGTGGATGTATATATGTGTGTGTGCATGCACACAGGAGACCAGCTGAATATACATCAGGTTCTAAGCTTTTGTTTTGTTTTGTATGTGTTTTTAGATGTAAGATTATTCGTTACTATTTCATTCTAATTAATTCACTTTGGCTTTGCATGCTTGCACTGAGGATCAAACCTAGACCCTTGTGCCTGAGAGGCAAGTACTCTATCTCTGAGCTATCTTCAGTCTTCAATCTATTTAAATTAAATTTTGGTGAGCCAATTGTTTTTAGAAATTTATTCATTTCTTTCTTTCCAATGTTTTCGTGTGCAATTTCTTATAATCTTTTGTATTCCTGTGATATTATTATAATTATAGTGAAAAGACATAGTGTTGAGAATTCAAGGCAGCCCATCACATCACACTCTCAGTCAGGAAGAGGAAGTAATAAAGATTAACATTCAGCTCACTTTCTCCTATTTTATTCTGTTCAGGACTACAGCCAATGGAATGAGGCAATGAGGCTGCCCATATTCAGGATGGGTCTTTGCTCAGTTAACAGCCAACAAGATTCAAGTCTGTATATGGACACATGGATTTCTACATGTTTACAGATGAGCAAACATGAATTATAATATGAACACCACAAGTTAATAACCCAAGTTTCATAGTCTAAGATATCCTCATGAGTCAATGGTTTCTGAAACCAACAAGCAAGTGACCTTGCAGCCTCTCACTGGGGTCATTTGTTAGAGTTGACAAAGCCAGAGAATTTATTTGTGCCACCCAGTTGAGGGTAACACTATTAGGAATGGATAAATGAGTCAACAAAGACCAATGAATACCCCCAAATAAGGGAAATAGGTCCAACCAGAATGGCAGTGCTTAGCTTCTGAGGAAGCCAAATGAAAATTAAACAGCAACAGAAAAATTCCTCTGAAACACTTTTTAACTTTTATTCATTCTTTGAGATCCTCACATCATGCATTCTGATTCCACTTATCTCACCCATCACCTCGCAATCATCCTCTGCCCTTGCAACCTTCACCCCCAACCAAAACCAAATTTAAAAATCAAAAACCAAACCAAAAAAAAACCAACAACAAACAACAACAACAACAACAACAACAAAAGAATCTTGTTACAGAAGCTGTAGTGTGATCCATTGAGCCACACAGTATACCCTTTAGTTCATTCATCTTTACTAGCAAGTGTTGTCATGAGTCATTGGTTTGGCTCTAAACCTCTGGTTTCTGGTATACGACCAATAATGGGTTCTTACTGGGGCTCCTCTTAAATAACGTGTAGTTGTCCTATGTCATGGAGATACTGCTGTTTAGTATCTTTAAGTTTACATGCTTCAATAGTTCCTAGATTTGGTGAAGGTTGCGCTGGGCCAACTCATAGCCCTGGTTCTGAGCCTGGGTGGTAGCTGTATTGGACAGCCCACCAGCTTTCCCTAATATTCACTTCCCCGGCAACTTGTCCAGCACTGCCTTGGCTAGCTCACTCAATGTAGTCTACAGCAAGGAGGAGGGCCAGTTCTCCTGATCTCAGATCTTCAGATCTAAGTCTCCCACACTCATATCACCAGAGCCAGCTCTACTCTTTTGCCCAGACAAGGTACAGGGCCTTATCTCATGATTATTGCAGGGGGCATATGAGGGCAGGGGTATAGTCAGCTGTCCTGCTCTTACACCCGCAGTGCTGGCTCACCAGCAGCCCTGGCAACAACATCAGCTCTAGTGTGCTGTGCAGATGAAGTACACACCTGTGGTGAGGGGTGGGACTGTCTTTCCCTAGTGCAGGAGTAAAATATTCTTCTGTAGTATCATAATTGGTTGATGGGATAATAGATTGGTACTTGTGAGTTATTGTTTTTAGACAAATATATTGGTATCAATTCTTGTATATTGATACAAAGTTAAATTATATTGACTATTGTATGCATGAACGTTTCTACCTCTGTTTAAAACATTATTTATGTATTGATATATATATTGTATTGATATATGTATATTTACCATATTGCGGTGTACATTTCTACCTCTGATTAAGATACTTATATATTGTTTATGTATTGATATATACCTTTACCATATTGCAATGTATACTTTTACATTGTTTACATTTGGAGGTCATATTGTCCTCATTTATTGCACAGTTGTTTATTTTCTTAGTCTTTAAGTTAGATAGGTATTGAGAATTATATAGATCAATAGTCATCTATGTTTGTCATTTATAATTAGACTAATCAGGTTCTTTAGATACATAGAGATTATATTCAGTATAGATAGATAATCTTCAACCTCTTCAAAGACCTGTGGAAAATGACCTTTAATCTAACTCAGAGTTCCATGGTAGTGAGACACAATCGCTCCTGGCAACACCGATCTTTTCCCAAGAGAATGCTGAGCACCAAAGACACCCCACCTGGAGCCTTTCTTCTTGGCAGAACTGACCTTTAGGTAAAGAAATGCACATACTTCAACCATTGACTGAGATATAGAGTATCCATAAATGGATAAAACAGAACTGTCATATCCTGCCAAGACAGGGTAAGATAGTTTTGAAAAGTTTCTTGCCTTTGAAAATGGTATGTCGGTTACGTTAGGCCTTAGGCAAAGTTGGTTGCTTCAACACTGCAAACGTGACTTTGGGTGATTGCCCAGGTAGCCAGTTGTCTGTGATTTGTTGCATGTTTTGGAAGTTGTTTGATTGCACTTCCTAATTACTCAGGTAACATTATTTCCCTTCTCAGATCTTTGATGGGGTTGAAGACTATATAAATGTAGTTACTTTCCTCTCATGACTTGGCCAAGTTATTTATTATACAAGACTTAAGCTAGTTTGAATAGGATATTTGTACTTATGGTTTATAATTTCGTAGTAGGCTTAGAACTCTCTTACTTAAACAAAAGGGGGAGGTGCTGCGGGAGCTCCTTCCATTCCTTCAGCCAATAGCCGCTGAGATACCAGCCCATTGGGGCATGGTCTCTCTCTCTTTAAAAAAAAGAAGTAGCAGCTGTCCTCTGTTCTCTCTCTGGCTTCCAGCTCCACTTCTGGCTCCTAGACTCCTTTCCTGATTGCGCAGAGGGGCTGCTGTCTGGGACGGTAATCTGTAAGTTTTTCCCCTTTGAATAAATAACCATTCTATTAATCATAATTCCAAACTGGTGTGGGATTGTTTGTGACTTACGCCTTCATCAGGTGAAGGACAGGACAACCTATATCAGAGCCAGTGAAACATGGTGCTGGCTCAGCACACCATGGTTCCAATGACCCCTTGTGATATAACATGGGCCATGAACATTATCATAGACCCCAGCTACAGCAGAACCATGGATATAGTCCCTGGCAGCAGCTAGGGTCCTGATGTTACCACAACCCCAGCAGTAGCACAGGCCACCCACCTAGATCAGTATGCCCCGGATGTCAGCAGCGCCCTCAAGTACCTGATCTCTGGTGGCTGACAACACCCTGGGCATCTGCAGAGGCATCTTTAGTGACAGGAGTCATAGATACCACCCCAGATCCCTGCCACTGCAGGGGTCATGGTCCTAGACATTACCCTAGGAAGCAGCCCATGCCCATATGCCTCTGTGGCTCCAGGGGGCAGCACTGGCCAACAGATCAGTATGATCCCAGCAGCCACACAGTCTTTGGACACCAGCATGGCCTGAGATGGCTGACTAGACGCCAGTCATCTTCACAGCCCTCATTAGTAACAGGAGCTCTGGACATCAACTCAGACCCTGGTTGCTATAGAGCCATGGACCAAGACAGGGACTTCAGTCGCAGCCCTGGTCTGGATAACATTATGGTCCAAGGGGAGGGCCATACAGATCACCGTGTCTCTGGTGACAGCACAACTCTGGGACACTCTCATGACTCCCAGTTTCGGCTCAGATCCCAGGCATATCTTTGGTGGCAACATAGGCAAGAGACATCAAGGTGGGACTGCAGGCTACTCAGACTGGCTTGACCCTGGGAGAGTGTGGTCCTCAGATATCAACATGGCCCTGCATGGCCTTCCATGTTCTCAGGAGCTCCCAACATCAACTCAAACCCTGGGTGCAGCAGCTCCACAGACCCAGACATAGCCCTCAGCCACAGCCCTGGTCCAGATGATACCCTGACCCCATTTGACGTCATTGGCCACCTAACTCATCCTGATCACAGTGTAACACTATCAGCATGATCATCGATTGCTGCCCAGATCTGAAGCAATCACAAGGCCCTTGACAGAAAAACGGGCCAGGAGCATCAATACAGACTGTGACTGTGGCAGGACTATGGACTCAGAAATGCTCCTTGGCAGAAGCCCAGACCAGAATGTCATTATGCCCCTAGGTGGCCATTCACACCATCCAGATCGGCAAGGTTTCAGCAGCAGCAAGGCTCTTGGATTCGAATGTGATCCCAGTTGGTGGCCCAGATCACAGGGATCTGCAGATACCAAGAAGCCAAAGGAACCACAATCATCAACACAGGGCCCCTCAGATGCTCCAGGACCCCAGACCAAGACCTGGTCCCTACTCACTAGCCATAACCCAGGCCCCGCATCCCTCTGGACTCAGATGACCAGCAGGTAATTCCTGTCAGTCCATTCTCTCATCACCTTCACCTCTCCAGATCTACCTCTCTCCCCAACCCATAAACCATTCAGTCACTCCCTTCCTTCCTTTTACTTCCACACTCTATACTCTGGTACCACAATGGTGCCCAACAGGCCTGCACCAGTTGGGCTTCTGGTAGATTGTGAACCCACAGATTAAAAAAGTATCTGGGGAGGGGGCTGCCATCTGTGTTCTACACTAATTCAGGCCTCCATCTGAAACATTTAAACCAGCTGTTTTTGCCAATAGTTTGTAGGTAGTTACCAACTTTCTTTAACTTTGAGAGTGAATTGAATTGATATCAGTATACCAAACAGTTACAACACCATTGTTAGACCCCACTCTGGGATGCTAACTCCTCAGGAGGATCGCCCCAAGAAACCACTCACCAGTCCAGTTGATGCAAAAGCAAGAGGAATTTTATTCTCAGCCCCACTAGCACAGGCTGCTTTTAAAGGCAAAAACCACATTTTCAAGGAGGGGGTTGTTTGTCAAAAGCAGGGATTGGCTCATTTTAAGGGCATTTACCATGATTGATTATGTCAAAGGCCTGGGTTGAAGGACAGGGAAGCACCTGCAGGCTGTTGGAAATCACCTGTTGTTCTAGTCAACAGGCAGGGTGGGATCACTAGTTCTCTAGTTTGCAAAACCATGTTTTCTTCATTCCCTCCTCTTGTTTTGGGGAATATTCCAATTCTGGAATATTAGGGGTCCCCTTTTAGGGCCTGGTATTGTTGAGGGGCATGTGGGTTTCCTTTAACTAGGGCTAGGAGAAAGTCTTAGCTTGAGTGGATGCCAAGCACACTGTAGCCTCCATCTGGATTGATCCTCCTGAGATGCACACTGTCTTGAGCCAAAACAGAGATGGAGACCGAGAAAACATGACCTTTCAGGACACAGCTATAGAACCACCCCAAGGTGTCCCCACAAATCTGCAAATAACAAAACAAAAAACAACAAAAATAATAGAAAAGACCTGTACAAGGCTGGCACCAAACCCGGTTCTGCCCCCCAGTTTCACAAGTCCATCCATTCAGCAGATTGATCACAGTCTCCAAATGAATCCTGCGGTAAGACAAGTCCTTCAGCAGAGGTGCAGAGTGCAGAATGGAGACATTAGTTTGTGATTCACTGCTTTCGCAGAACACAGACAGTACAAAGTTTATCAAGACATGGGACCATCACAGCACTACAAAAGAGTACAAACTCTCCCTGGACCAAGGAAGCTCCAGTTGGGCATCCCTGTCCATGAGGTCGTTCCGAATGATAGACTCTGTGTCACGGTCCAAGTACTCAATGAGCACTCCATCCAAGTCACTTGGGAGCTTCTCCTGGTGGAGGACACCCATCCTCCCATTGCCATTGCGGCTGCTCACAGAAGAGTAGCCACCCAGGGCGCTCATCTGCATGGGGTGGGACAGAGGCACTTGTAAACGGTGTCTTCACAGGGGTCAAGCGGTTCATGGCAGGTGTGTGAGGCATGGTGTTCACTACTTGGGGCAGGGTATGTCCATTGACTGAAGATGTTTGCTGTGAATGTCCAGAGATGCCTGGCTGGCATGACTGAATTAGGGCCCATGACATAACCTGGCCCAGGACCCGAACGCCTGCCAGGCCAGGACACCCCTGGACCAGCCAGCGACACGATGTCACTGTGGGAAGGAGAGCCAGAAGTCAACAACTCCTTCAAGAGTCCTGGTGTACAGCCATACTAGTTCAATCCTCCACAACTGGACCTCTGTCCCGGAGAGTCTTCACAGTCATCTGGGGCAAGGAGCCCACGCTGGACCTGCCGCATATATCCTGAATATCCCACAGCCAGCAATTCCCAAAGAAAATCACAGAGTCTACATTAGGTTATAAACTGATTGGTCCATTAGCTCAGTCTTTGTATTAACTAATTTATGATTCATCAGTTCTTGTTAATGTAACTAGATTGTATTTTACATTTATTATTAACGAGGTCACAATTATACATTTGTATGCACCTGTTTTAAATTGCATCTACACAGTCACTGAAAGGGTCTTGGTTAGATAGTGCAGTAAATAGACAATTTACAATAGTAAATTTCCTCAGGCTCCTTTTCTTTGAAATCCCGTTAGACCGGCCAGCACACAGTCACTGCCTTCCTTTCCTCTATATGACCATGTGTGTCTTCCTGGTACTACGCAGCGTTTTGAAAGAAAATTACCTCCAAAGGGAGTGGCACTATTAGGGTGTGTAGTCTTGTTGGAGGACATGTGTCACTGTAAAAGATTTTGAGGTCTCTTTTGTTCAAGCTTCCATCAGTGTAACAGTCAGTCAAATCTCTGCTGCCTGCAAGATGAAGGATTCTTAGCTATTCCTCCAGCACCATGTCTGCTGTACACAGCCATGCTTCCTGTCATGACGATAATAACCTGAACCTCTTAAATTGTAAGCAAGCCTCCCCAATTAAATGTTTTCCTTATAAGAATTGTGACAGTCATGGTGTCTCTTCACAGCAACAAAAACCCTAACTAATATAGAAGTTGGTACTGGGAAATGAGGTATTGCTGTGATCAGCCTGACCATGTGTTTGTTTGGAAGAATTTAAACTTCAATACTTTGGATTTGAAAAGCAGTGGAATATTTTAAGCACTGATTAATGGGTCATAGTAGAAGGAGAATGGCAGACCGTGGTGCTAAGAGTTATCTGAACTGTCAGAGGTTCACTAAAGATTTCAGAGGAGAAGAATTTTAGTATGTGTACTGGAGATTGTTCTCATGATATTTTGAAGAAGAAAGTAGATACATTTTTTTCCCTTGTCTGAAGAGTCTGACTAAGACTAAAGTTAAGAGTTTGAGATAAATTCTATTGGCAGAAGAAATATAAAAACAGGCTAGTATAGATTCTTTAATGTAGAAATTTATAATGAAAAAAAACCAAGTTAAGCAGGGTAAATTTTGAGGAGAAAAAGAAACAAGAAAGTTGAATAGAGCTAAATTCTATGTTCAAGGAGATGAATGAATTAAGAAACAGAATAATTGGAGTGATAACCTCAGGGTAAGATTCTACCCAATTAAATTTTCAATCAGTAAAAAGGAGCTAGCTAAAGAAAAGCTTAGAGCTGGGCATGATGGGTGCACCTCGGTGTAGTAAAAAGCCGCTTGTTTGTTTCCCTAGCTGCCCAGACTCCCAAAATAATCACACAGAAATTTTATCACTAAAATCACTGCTTGGTCAGTCACTTAAGTATATTGCTAGCTATCTCTTACATCTAGTATTAACCCATTTTCAGTTTTCAGTATTTTATATTTTACCATGAGGCTCGTGGCCTACCATCAAGGTTCCAGTGTGTCTGTCTCTGGAGGACACTCCATGGGTTCTCCTTGCCTCCACCTCCTTTCTCTCAGAATTCAGTTTACTTTTCCCTGCATAGTTCTATCCTGCCCTATCAACAGGCCAAGGCAGTTTCTTAATTCACCAATGGTATTCACAGCATACAGAGGGCAATCCCACATCACCTCCCCCTTTCTGTGTGGAGATGGCTGCAGTGAACCATAGAGGTCTAGAGGCTGGCACAGACAGGAGATAGGGAATGATAAGGCTCCACAGAGACAGAAAGTGATAAGGCAGGGCAGAGACAGGATCTTAGCCCCTTTTTGGTCTGAGGATTCAGAGAGATAAGAAGTGATGATAGCTGCTCCTTTGCTTCTCTTATCTTTGAGCCTTCAGCCCTATATCTGACTCCAAGTTTTCATTGATAAGACTAATTGGAATCTTGCTTCATCTGGCATCCAATTTTGGGGGCAAAATTTGATGAAAAAGTCACTTGCCTGTGGCTTTGAAGTCACAAGCCAGAGCTGAATATGACTTGAGTCATGGCCCCACTGCAAAGGTTTTCCTTTTTTTCACCAATACCCCTGACCAAGTTTGGGATTTTTCTGTTGTAGTTTCTCTGCAGTAAACACACAGCACTTAGGTTCCAAATGCCTTGGGAGTTAGCTCCTTACCACTAGCCAGCTCCGCCTTCAGGCAGCTTCTGCCACATATGCTTTTTTCCCAAGAGTTCCTTTGCTTGTGTTTTTCAGACAGCAGGCTACCTATGGGTTATTGGAACATGAGGGGCCGGCTTGCTGGGGTTTCTGTCCCACTCAGTATCCCACAGCCGGCAATTCCCAAAGAAAATCACAGAGTCTACGTTAGGTTATAAACTGATTGGTCCATTAGCTCAGTCTTTGTATTAACTAATTCTTACATCTTACGGTAACCCGTAATTCTTGTCTGTGTTAGCCATGTGGCTCAGTACGTTTTCCAGCAGGGCAGGTTACACCTTGCTTCTCTGTGGTCTGGGCAGGAATGGAGGAATGGGCTTCCTCCTTCCTAGCCTTCTCCTGTTCTCATTGCCCCGCCTCTACTTCTTGTCTGGTTGACCCACCTATATTTCCTGCCTGGCCAATCAGCATTTTATTAAAATACATGATTGACAGAATACAGATAATTCTCCTGCACCACTCCCCCTTCTTTAAAAAAAAATCCATAGTCCATTTGTTGGGAATGTGGGCATAGTATTTCAGGCTACTTCCTGCTGGCTGGGGGTGCTGATGATCTTATGGGGACCTAAAGAAAATTTAGAGTTATAATGAAGTCCTGACTGGAGTATCCTGTGAGTCTTGATCATCTCAGGCAGCAGTCTTGAACCTGTTCTGGATGAAGAACTCAGACATCTTGGCCATCTGTTCCTTCCAGAGATTTCTTAGGTGGTCTCCCTTGGTCAAACTGGATATTTTTTAACTCAGAATGAATCCATAGCCTCTCATTTTCTGTGGAAACAAAAGAAGAATCTCTTTTCCAAAGTACCATATCCTTAGATCCAAATTCTGAAGTCATAATACCCTTATAATAATATACATGGTGGTTTAGCCTAGCAGCCCATACAATGGAATATCTCTCTGTATTTAGCTCCTTCATAGTTAAAAAATTGAAAGAAAACATAATATATGGAATCCAAACTTTCTGTGAATTTTCCATTTTTACATGGCTTATTTTTTATTTCTTTTAATCTATAACTATCTGGACTCTATCTCTTAAAAGACTTTATCCTTTTTTTAAAGCATTAATTTTATTCTCTATATTCTTTTTCTTCTCTCTCCCAAGCCTACATACAGCCATCCAATATTATGATCCATTTAGAGGTCTTTTATTTCTGAATCTGTCCTATTGTGAATCTGTAATTCTTTACTGTCTTGAAGAGCTTTACCTAGACCACATCCTTGGGCTGCTCCCAGACCAGGCAGCTGCCTTGAAAACCCACTCAGGCTTCTACTGTTGTATGAAAAGCAGTCAGCCTCACACTTTTCACTGTCATCATCACCAAATTTGGTGAGGCAATTGGAAATTTTTTAAGAGGGATTAGTGTAAAAGAGAGGGAGAGAGAGAGTTTTGCCACATTAAAAAAATGGGAAACACTCTTACAATGGAGGGAGTTAGGTCTCTTTATGATTACACAATGAATGCTTTAAAAATGGATCAATTAAATGAGGGGATAATTAACTTATATGGATTAGCATAATGTCATTTATAAACATTATCAATTTGATCACTCTTGCTTTATTCCTAAAAGTAGCTTGTTGATATGAGTGCCAAGATACAAATCTTAGAAAAACTTATTGAAGTAGACCATAGGGATATTTAGATCCAAAAAGAAGTTCACTGTCTCAGGTCTGCTCTGGCCCATGTCACTGGCTCAGTGCGGCTCTTCCAATGTCCCTAAAGTGGATGATAAAACAGTTCTTGTCATGGTATTACAAACTATTTCTCAGTGTCCATGGCATTGGGAGAATGGGTCATCTGCCCTTGGCTACAGTTCCTTCATAAGTCACTTCTTTACCATTATACTTAGTTGTTGAAAATTTAACTTGTATTTCACAAAAATGGAAACTCTGAACTTCTACTGACCCTGGCACACCATTTACACCACATCAATGCTCAGTATGTGCTCTGTTAATATTTACCCAAGTGCGAATGTGGTAATAACCCTCTTTTTCCAGCTGCCTTTGAAACACTTTCTAGCTACAGGTTGG